GTCTGGCATTGGCTCTGTCAGACTAAGGGGAAGCTTCTAGCAGCTTCTTGCAGAAGCCACCCCTACAGGCCCCCTGCCATCGAAATCCAGCCAGGCAAACCCAATACACCTACTTTCTTAGTTGCCTGTTCTTAATACATATGGAGTCCAGATGCATTGTACAGCTGAAGAGATCAAATTTAACATAAGACGCTTCAGACCACCTGCAGGCATTGAACCCTTGTTACTCTTCCTTTAAAAGAGCAAAAAGTACTGAACAATGTATTGGGAGTCCAGAGTGAAAAACCACTGCATCTTGCTTTTGGCATGGGTCGGCTGGAAGCTCAGGATTTGGGTTTAGAAATGTTGCGTCAAAAGCAGATGATATAGCAACAGAACTTTTCACATGTTCCAGCTGAAGCAACTTTCCTCAGTCTTACCATTGCCTTTTCTGTGCTGTTCTAGGTATGTCTGGAGTGACTGGTGCAGCACTGAGAGAGACATCATTTATTAACCGCAGCTTGTCTGCCCTGGCAGACGTTCTTGGAGCAATAGCAGAACAGCGACCTCACGTACCGTATCGAAACAGCAAACTTACGCATCTGCTTCAGGACTCTGTAGGTGAGAGATTGTTCTGACTTTTGTTTAATGATACAGGTTTCTTTTTTCAATCTTTCGCCTCTGTTGTGTAAAACTAGAGGGTGGTCTTGTATTCCTCCCTTGTATGTGGGCCTCTATTCAAAGACTCTGGCTTTGGAGCAGTGTGAGTACACAATGAGAGTTCTGAACTCCTCATGAATTTGGCTAAACTTAGCTGTTTCCAACGTTCAGTTTAGGAATACGTTTGCAAGAATCACAGCATCTCTAATAGGATCATGTCAAGGGCAGTAATTACGTTTCATTGCTGTTTCATGTCAGGTACATTTACAAGTTAAGCTTCAATCTTTATTACCACAGGGTATACTCACATATTTGCACATTCCTTAACATTGTGCCTTGCAGCAGTAAGGCAAAAGAGGGAGATGGAACACATGCATAGTGCTGTGCCACAGCCTCTTTTTGTGTTTGGGTCACCCCTTCTTCTCTAGCTCCTCATTTAAACAGAAACAGTTTTAGAACAAGTCTAAGGCCTGCAGTAACGTCAGATTTGTTCCCAACCATATATGTATATATAAATTCATTTTTATTCAGCCAGAAAGCTTCAGCCCTTATGCCTTTTAGTCTGCAGTTCAAGGTGTTTACAGTGACTGAGGTAACAGTTCTTCAGAGCTTCTGAAAGACTATTAATTTTTGCTTGAACTTTGAATTTCACCTAGTGCTCGAGTTCCCACTGTGAAAAGGGAAAGCCAAAGAAAGGAGTGAATTTAGGAGCTATGTTGTATGGGCACCAAGCCTGTTTTTAACCACGCCTGGCGTACGACCTGGGTAACGCTCTTGAGATGAAGTGTTGAAAGTGGCAATTTCCTTGTTTGTTTAATCATTGTGTTTTGCTTCTAAGTCTGTTTTGCTGTATTGACACACAAATAAGCCATTTTGCCATTAGTCCAAATTTACAAACATTTGACAAAGCTTAATGAAGTGTCCAGACCCATAACATACATGCTGACTAACTTATGAAGCTCTAAGGGGGACAAACCTACATTACAAATAATGAAATATTTATTCTACTGGGGCACATATCATATCGCTAGACATAGACTTCTCTTGAAGGAGCTGTCTGTTTTCAACAGCCTTCTTCACAGGCAGTCTTCTGCTTTGTAAAAACAATGGTAGCCTACGCTTGTTTCTGTGTAGATCAACACGTTACCAGTGTATAACTTACCAAAAAGAATGAGGTAAATAAGGATGTTTTGTCATTTTCCTGCTTTTAGGAGGTGATGCTAAACTGTTGGTGATGCTGTGCATCTCTCCTGACCAGAAGTACTTAACAGAATCGATGCAGTCTCTGGGATTTGGAACTCGTGCTCGGCAAGTTCAGAGAGGACAAGTCAGGAAAAAAAATTTCACAGTGCTGAGTAAAGCAAAATAAAACCTAAGAGTCCTGTAGATGAAAGTATTATTAATGAGTTCCTCAGACTGAAATATATATTGTTGTCTAAAGCCATTCTTTTACATATCCACTGCCAGATAAAATAAACTTCAACATGGCATTAGTAAGCCATAAACCTGTTGATAATGTCCTTGCTCCAAAGATAATATTAAGTATTGACAACAGCTACCAACCATAGTAGAACGGCATAGAAATAAATCAGACATTTTTAGGAAAGCTACTTCAAGACGTAGTTTTGGTGATGTGTTTCCTCTGGGCAAGAAGAATTAATTCAACAGAGCCTTGATTCAGGACAGCTCACTTCTAAAAGGCCAACAGTGTCTTCGGTCTTCTCAGAATAACATTCCAGTGCTTCAAAGCCACAAGTGAAATACTTCCTCCCAGGTTGGATTAAAAGAAGACACATCATTGAGGCTTGCTCTTCTGTCGAGCGTGGGGGGGGGGGCACTCCTCAGGCACTACCAGTGGCGAGGAGTGCAAAGGAACCCATCGGCTGCACTGAACAGAGTTCTGTTCCCCTGGTTGTAGGAACGAAACAATGGCACAAGTGAGATGGAGAAAAAGGAGTAAGGTTATATCTGTTATGCCTCTGGAATGTTGCTTATGAAGCAAATGAGAGATTATACAACCTTTTGAGAACATACTCAGGCTAAATTGTTGGAGCAAATCCCAACTCTGCTGAGTTCACTAAGATTACAGCTTTGAAGGGGTGGGGGGTTGTTCCATGTGCACTGAAAAGCCATGAACTACAGATGCTCATGGGACCTCCTAACTTGTACAACTATTGTAGCAGCAGGCTGGCATGTCGGCTCCCTGGCATTTCTGAAGAAAGTTAAGCACATTGCAACTTGAAGGTGTGCCTGCACACTAGAAAAGGGTGACTACACGCTTGCCATCCATCACATGAATAAAACATCAGAAACCCAGCTTGTGATATGAAGCTTGTCATCCTCAAAAGGCCTTCACCCTCTTACACCAACCTTGAGACAACATTGTCCAGGGTTTGTGAATGAATTTACATGGAATGTAAGCAATGTTATGAGATGAGAAGCGGTCCTGAGATAAGCAGCTGAGTTTAATAAATCTGATATGGTTTATGCACTACATTAGTGCTCAGCAGCGGCCTCAGGATCCATTCTGAATTCTTACCTCCAACAGTCACTCTGCCTCTAGATGGGGAGAGAGGTCAGTGGTAGGTCACTGCAGAAAGGCTTAAATTGCAGTGGCCTGCCCAAAAGGCTGGAGTTTATAGTACTCCAAGTCACTTGACCTTCACGAGCATAAATATTTGTCCAGAGATTATATAGCGTACTATTATTGGAATTTCACCCTTGAATATCTAACAGCTGCTGTGTTGCATGCAGTGCTCAGATCATTAGCATCGCAACCGGAGAGCTGTAATAATTCTTGTTTTCCTAAATAATGTCACAAGGGTAAAAATTTCTTAACTTTACCAGCAGTAACAGAGGGGTAGGAAAAGAACCTGGACACAGTGACCATTCAGCTTCCTAAGGTCCAAAGCCCTCTCAGGTGAGAAAGTGTCAGAGTGTGGAGAGTTTGGCTGCTAAATGACAGGAGCAGACAGCCTCAAGTTTGCCTTAGTCTCCTGACAGCTCGCCTACAGCAGCCCCAATTCCAGCTCTAAGAGAGAGATTGACAATGGAGAGCTAGCTACTATCGTCTCTTAAGTTCCTCAAATATTTTTAAGGATTTGTCATTTCCTAAGTGTTACATAGAAATGTAACTTGTCATGAGCTGCACTTTGTTTTCTGGAGCTGCTCTTCAAAACTTGGTGTTTATTTACAACCTGTGTGGCAGGGCAGAAGCAGCAATACCTATTGTTAAATCTGAGAAATAAATGCCTCAAATATCATCAAATACCAAAAGTTAAAGCTTCTACATTAACATTAACTCTGCCAAACTGTGCATATGCAGCATTCCCTATTTGTGTTGACCTTGTCACCACAGCGTATCGCTTGCTGCTTGATCTGCCCAGTGGAGTGTACAGGACACACAGGGCACCAAGGTTAACATTTTGCTCTAAGGACTTTCAGTTTTGGAATTTCCTGTGTTACCAAAACATGAATGCTCAATCCCCGTGTCAGATGTGATGGACTGAGGGAAAGAAGGGTACAAAGTACATGACTTTGCTCCAGCATCTAAACTGAATTGTCTTCTGCCTGAAGATTCACTTGGACCTGCTAAATGACAGTCAAGTCATGTCCAGAGCCCTGTACTTCTCTGCTGTAATTTTTTTAGTTTTCAGATCCTTTGACAAACGTTCACAGAGCTGACTTTAAAGTTTCCTTTTTTTAGCTAAAGCCTATCCTGATAAGCCAGTCCTCATCATATTAACACTGTAAAGCTGAAACACACGTACCAACACTGGGAGAAAGAAAAATAAAGAAAAGGAAAATTTGAAAGTTATCAGAAAAACTGAGACACGAGGAACTAAGCACGAGGCAAGAGGTGGCTGTGTTTAAGAGTGCCCGTGTAGTCTATCTGCTAATACAGCTCTGTTTTCTTGGAGGGTGGGGCACAAGCAAATGAGAACAAAAACTATATATATCAGGAGAAAACCCTTTCAGTGAATCCCATGAGCGCATAACCTCGAGTTCAGCTGGTCTCTCGGCAGACTGAAGCAAGAGCACCGTCACCCCTGTCTGCTCAGCCGGATCTCTGGGTCTCTGTTTCGGAGGAAGTGCTGCTCACTAGTGGGGGGATCCTCTCTCCTACCCACCGTCAGCACGCCTTGGTGGCAGTCAACATGTGAACCTTCGGCTGCAGGGCTCTCCTCCCCTGGGCACCCACTTTCTGCTGTGACAGTTCAGCCAGTGCTCAGTTACACTGCACCTTCCACCGTGCCGGCTAGGAAAGAGCCGTTCCTCTGCACCGCAAACCCCAGCCACCCCTTGGACGGCCTGGGCCGGCCACTGAACGCTGACAGGTGCTCTCTAACCCCTCTCCCTCCCAATCAGGAAGGGAAAGGGAACAAGGCAGAGACACTCATGGACTGGAAAAGAAAACTATAACAGCTTTAATGAAACAATAATACTACTAAGAAGGAAATAACAAAAATATATGCCAATCTGTACACAACAAATATGGAACCCAACTCCCGCTGCCTCAACAGCAATCCCCACTGAGGCTGCAAAGCAGCCGCCACCAGGGAAGCCCCAGGCTCGGCGGCAGAGGGGAGCTGGATTTGGGATCAAAGGCAGAAGAACAGACACAGTCCTTCTTAGACACCGGCCATTGAAGAAGAGAGCTTAACCCCTGTGATCCCTCAGATTTATACTGGATATGATGTATATGGAATGGAATACTCTTCTTGTCACATGTCCTGTCTGTCACTCACTGGAGGTGCAACCTTTTAGTTCCTTGTGACCCCTTTTACTTCCAGGCACCCCCAGTGTGGCACACAAGAGCCAGGAGTGGCCTTGGTTACTATAGCAAGAGCCTTTCTGCATACCAAATCTGGCACTAACTATAAACATCAGCCATTATCACTTCTAGTAGCAGACACTGTCTGTAAAAACATGCTCTTAACTTCTGAAAATGCAGCCTCTTAGAAGAGACTGAGCTGAAAATAAAATTGCTGGAAAGTAAAATCACTGAGCAGAATTAGCTCTGTTTAGTTCAAACGAGGACAACCGCCCCTCTTGAATTTATTCTGCCTTCTTCCTTGCCCTGCAGACAAACTGAGCAAACCATTTTAGCAACAGTAGCTAGAAGCCTCCACCTCCTCAAAAAGCCTGCCCATGATTGAAACCACCACAAACACAAGAGAATTTAGTCTTATGAATACTTCAGTATTCAGCATGCTGGTTTAGTGTCGAGTTGGCCAAGGAGTCAATGGTGTGAAGCCATGGTGTAACCAGTGCAACAGCTGCTGGGAGGCTCAGGGTGTATTATTGTGGAAGCTGCTCCCACACTGCAAACCCCCCTCACCCCTGGCAACCCTCCATGCATCCTGTGACCCCTGAGCCAAGCACCCTTCCAGAAAGCAGAAAAGTTAGATCCAGTTCAAAGACAAAGGATTTGAGCTTGTGTGCCTCCCCACATAAGCACATGCTTGGGCTTGTAGGACATTCAGCACGTCTACAGATGGGGCAGGAAAAATGTGCCTTTGCCAGACCAGTCCCCATGTCCTAATAGCTGCAAGTGCTCATCTAGGATAAAATAGGCAGACAAACACACATGGGCCTACACCGTTATCAGGAGAAGTCTAAACCTACCTAGAATCAGACAACAGCCTTCAAGGTACAAGTCCAAAATTCAACCCAAAAGGACATCTCGGTGCCCACGTTTCTCTGTGGATTTAGCAATACAGAGGAAATTTATCAACTCCAGTTGTCAGTTCCCCTTGCAGCCAAAGGAAAGGGATTAACGGGACAGATCCACTTTCAGAAAGTACCTCCGCCTACCAAGGCCAGCGAAGGAGCCCAGGCAAAATTTTAAAGCCCCAACTCTCAGTCTGCCATGGCCAGGGAAGCCAATTGCTTAGGGACCTGATTTTGAAGGACATACAATCACTGTAGACATTTTTCTGCTTATTTTTTCAACCTTAACTGCCACCATACCTACCCAGCTCTAACACTGTGTTGATCCAACAGACCTTCTCTCAGCCTTTGCGATTCTGTCCCTCATTCACCCAGTTCTCAGCACCCTATAGAATCATTAAGGCTGGAAAAGATAGAATCATAGAATCATAAAGGTTGGAAAGGACCTTCAAGATCATCAAGTCCAACCTACAGCCCTACACCACCCTAACACTAAACCATCTCCTGAAGTGCTGCATCCAACTGTTTTTTAAACACGTCCAGGGATGATGAATCCAACCATGAAACCAACACGACCATGACCACTAAACTATATCCCAAAGTGCCATTCAGGGGAAGGCAGCGTGTAACAAGGCAGAGCAGAGCAGACGGCACTTGGAGCTGCTCCCCATCGGCTGCCCGTGAGGATGTTTTTTT